TATGCTTTATTTAACAAATAGCCAACACAGGAGTTAAACACTAACCAATGTCACCCAATCCATTGCAAAATGTACATACTTTTTCTTTTTTTTTCTGAGTAATAAATCAAAGTTTGGCTCTTTTAATTCTGCACACACCACATTACCACATTAATTCTCTGGAGTTACCTTTTTGCAAATTTACTAAAATACTGAGAACTGAAAAGACCTTTTTAGATATTTAGGTTTTCAGGTATAGTTATATTAACCTTAAGCTCCTTGAAAAGTAGACATAATCACCAAAAGGCTACTAATACCTTGATACCTTGAAAACATTTCAAAGGGAAGTTAATTGATGACTTATCACTCACCTCTGTGACAATGGTTGACTGGTAGACTTCCTTGCTGTATGTCCACCCATCCAGACAACTCTCCAAAGGAATTTCACTCACATTCACATCCACATTTGGGACAATATTCTTTTGAGAGTAGTTCCTGACGATATCCAGATTAAGCCGTGAGCAAGAGCTGCGCTTTGCAATGCCATCAACTGTTTCCAGTGGAATCGTCACATTTCTCCACATCTCATCAATGCTGTAGTTTCCAGGGATATAGCACTCATGAGGTGGGGTATCAGCTACAAATACTATATAGATGCCAGCAAACCCATTTGGGAGGATGCTGATCGCCAGTGCTAAAAAAATCCTTCGCTGAAAGGGTCCCCAAGATCCAAGAAAGATGTTGATGCTGTCATCAGTCTCTTATTTTGAAAGCGCCCATTATAAAAACAAATACCGTACAAAAGCATAGCAGACACTTAGTCAGTACTGAGAGGCACAAGGGAGACTGTGCTCTAACTGCTCTGTTATATGCACTTGAGCCACGTGAGCTGTAAAGTTCAGGTTTTATATGTCAGCTTAATCTGAACTGGGAGGTTACACAGTTACATACAGCGCTGTGCAAAAAACACACAACATTACTTAAGATGATGCTCAATTTGCTTCGCTACAAAATGTTTTCAAATAAATCATCATTTAGGTTTAGATTTTTTCTATCAAACTAAATCAGAAAATTATATTAATTATATTAGATGTAACACATCTTTGGAAAAGCAGTTAATCATTTTCAAGCAGAGGTAAAACATTAATGAGGCCTGTTATTGTCATTTTAAGGGACACTTGAGTTGTTTTGTAACTGGATGGTTTAAAGATAACGTAGTTATGGCTCTTTTGTGGACCTTGATAACCTATCACAGATAACCAGAGTCCTTTAGGACAGCTGCCCATGAGAACTTTTATTAAGTTATTATACAATGCAGTTTCACCAGAACCTATACAGATGACTTCATCTGGCAACCAATACAATTTGTTAATGTACCAACTGCTGTTAATATCTGGTTTGGTAATCACGGTTTATAGCCATTGCCATGGGAATATGACATACTGTAGGATACTACTTTAATGGCCCATTAAACAAAGACACCACGATCAGCACAATAAGTGATTGTGTGTTTCACAATGAGCAATAAAAGAAAATTGAATTCAACAGACTATGAGTTTGACTTTTATTAGAAAACCTAAAAGTTAACAGAATTTCTCTACAGTTGTAAAAATATTGCTAAGTGAAAAGAGCTTGCTTTATTAGCCTCTTTACACTCAGATTAACAACAATGGAGAACCATATCAATTCAGGATCTGTTTTCTGACAAAAATAACTCAAACTGTGTATTAGGAGGGTTCATATGTTCGCATATTAATTACATATATTGTGATTAGATTTCATACAAAACCTAGAAAGTGAAGCAAGGTCATTAAGAAAATCACACACATCAGGTTTGGCGTTTGGTTGCCCCTTACTTTATTTTCATGAGGCTATTTGATGTCCATTCAGCATTCAGAAGCACTGACCAACACAATCCAACCACACAACCAACCCCACACATAACAACAAATTAGGCTACAAGTCTAAAAGCAATGTGTGTTCTACTATATTTACTATATATAAATGTACTACAATAACCACACAGACACGGCGGTCTACAACACAAGCAGCAACAACCTATGTTTCAATAAAAAGGACAGACTGCCAGCATCTATAACAAGCCCAATAAACAACTTACCGATGATGTTTTCATCCAGCAGCTGTTAGTTTGAATCCATTCCAGTTAAAATGACATGCATTCACTGTAGCGTATATTTAATGTCCAAAAAAACTCCATATTTCACCACCATCGTCATCATCATCATCATCATCATCACGGTTGCTTTCAGCTACCTGCTGCTTCAGCTAACATTATCACCTGTTTACAGCAGGACTCTGTCAGACATTGAGGGTTGAGATGTTGAGTGAGAACACATTAGGCCAGGGTAAAAGAAATAGAGCAGGCACATTTTTAAAACTCCCGGTGTTGTACGTGTTCGCATCCAAATTGACTCAGAGTGGCTGGCGGGGGCCCTGTTAAGGGGGTACTAAGGGGGAGGAATCAGCGACAAACAGGCCACAGTGCCCCCTGCTGATGCTGGCTACTGCGTACCGTCGAGAACCCCTTGGCAGTGGTGAGGGTTTATTTGTTCGCTGCAGACTATTAAGTCTGACTCATTGACATAATCAAGACACAAACAAACTTTATTTAAAATAGGCATGTTCAGTCAGGCAGAATGGGCCCTTTGTAACTGTAGAGAAGTGGTTCCAAACCCTTTTCCTTAAAGAACCCAGCCTTTTCTATCATTGAGTGAACTGAGGACCCCTAACTAAGTGATATATTTTATATTATATCCAATGAAGAACAATAACAGAAAAGAATAACTGATAAAATGTGCAATGAAATAGGGAACACAATAACTGCAGAAAGACTATGTCTTGTAAATGTTACATCAGAGATGAGTTTTCTTTACGTTTTATATATTATATTTTATATCTTATCTATTTTCTTTTTTAACAATTATACATACTTAATGGTCCAAAGGACAAAATAGACATAAAAAAATCATTATTGTATTGAGCTATATTATGTGTTTTACTTTATATTATAAATATATATATATACATATATAATAGCAATATAAAAACAAACAAATGTAATCAGAGGACTAACAAATTAGTGCTGAATAAAACATGCAACTATTTGGCTCAGACAATAAAAAACTTTTAAATCTGATTTATTACTTTTGGGAAAATGCACATGCTTTAACAAACAAACCTAAGAAAAATGATAAAGTCATACAAGACACATTAAAACATGCTAAGAGAGTGCTGCTTAAAGCTGTTTTTAATTAATCAATTTTTTAAACAAAACTAGTGTTTCACAGTATGTTACATGGGTTACAAATGCAGTTACAATAAAGGATATTTCCAACAAAACAGAACTTCACATAAAACAAAACATTTTAATAAGCAAAAAGGTAAATAGGGCCATAATGTATCACATGTAGTTACAGTCAAACCTGATCATCACTGTCAATTCATTACAGAATCTTTTACAGTAAACAGTTACGATATTATAGACATGGGTTATTTATATAGCTGTGCAGATTGTTAAGACATTGTACTAGGTGTACGGACTGTGGGGGCAACTGCTCCTTTGGTTCATGTAGGTACAGCAGCACAAAGTACAAAAGGGCTGGGTGAAGTGGATTATAAACTGGAAGGTTTAGTGATTGATTGACTGTCAGCTAGTCACATCACTGGTCTCATTGCTCTGAAACAGCTTCCAATCACAGGGAGGCAGATTTGAACAACAGGAAATCATATTGTTTTCTGAATGGTGCAGAGTGGCACGATATGAACACAAATATGCAGCCAAAGCCACATGGTGTGGGTTCTACTTGAATTTGTTCCAATCCAATGCTACTTCAAAAGTGATTAACAAAAACAGGGTCCTTTGTGGTATAATGACAAAATATGGTTTAACGGTTATTTTAGTCTAACAAACATTTTAGGACCTCTGAGGAAAGTATAAAAACCAGGTGTTAAAGTTACCTCATCTTGTGTAAAAATGTCCTCTATGTTATTTGCCTTGGCAGCGTCTCTCAGTATGGCCTCAGCCTCTTTTACTCTTCCCTGATAGAGCAGCCAGCGAGGAGACTCTGGGACCAACCTGCAGAGTTGAAACACAGGGGTAAGACATTATCTGTAGATACACACAGAGATGAAGGACTAAGTGCACCGAACCAAACCAGTTTGTGTTCCATAACCATAAGGGGCCTGGTCACACTAGCATTCATAGCAGAGACAAACTGTTGGCCAAATCTTTTCAAAACTTTTTTTTTCAATGCATACTGGAAAACAATACATAGAAAGCTATTATATTAGCTGTGTGCATCATGTTATATATAACTCTTCTCTATTTCCTCAATGGCATGAGGAAAGCAGATCATATTTGCTCGGCTTGTCCAAGTAAGTCTTTGAGTCTGATCTATCTATCTATGGTTTCTTATTAGTTTTACTGTATTGTCTGCCCAGGTGTTATAGTATATTTTCAGCCAAATGTGATGAACATGTGAAGAGAATTTGCACTTAAACCAAGCAATGTAAAGGTTGCTGTGTAAGAGGGCAAGCTGAAATACAATATGTGAATATTCTTACCACCATATAGGGATGTAGATAAGGCCAGAGGCAGCCATGGGAATCAGCAGCATCCTCCAGTCACGGAGGAAGTAAGCTGCAGCTGGGGTTGCCATGTACCCCAAAGCAGAACCCAAAAACACCCCAAGAGAGCAGAAGACCACTCTGGCTTTTGGGCTTAGAATTTCTGTACCTGTTGGTGTAATAAAGAAATGGAGAACTTATCAAAATAAAGAGACTCAAGTTTATGGGTGCTTCAGTGACAGTCAGTTCTGTTCAGGAAAATGTGAGATCAGCAACCAAGAGCAATTGCGGATGCATTCATAGGCAACCAAATATCTTAAACATCTATTACTATTTTTGCATCAGTGAACAGCAACTGAAGAATGGGTTATTCCGTCCAAATTATGTTTATAAAAATGCTGATGTCGATATGTGAGATTAGTGGCACACCCAGGATGCCACTTTCAAAAACAAGCACTAATGTGAGCCCTTTTAACACATAGATGTCTTACATAGGCACTGAACTTTGTATTTAAACAAATATTTAATTTATATAAATTCACCTGTGTTTCAAGCGGGCATTACCCATTTGGGAGGATGCTAATGGCCAGTGTTAAAAAAATCCTTAGCTGAAAGGGTCCCCAAGATCCAAGAAAAGATGTGATGCTGTCATAGTCTCTTATTTTGAAGCTGCCCATTATTTAAAAAAAAAAAGTAAAAAGACAAACAGACACTTAGTCAGTACTGAGAGGCACAAAGGGGGCTGTGCTCTACTGCTCTGTGACATGCATTTGTGCCATAAGAGCTGTAAAGTCAGGTCTTAATCTGAAGTGGGAGGTTACACAGTTACATACAGTGCTGTGAAAAAAGACACAACACCACTTGAGTTTGTGCTCAATTTTCTGTGCTACAAAATGTTTTCAAACATATCCTTTTTATATTCAGATACTTTCTATCAAACTTAAGTAATAAGAAAAATTAATTCATTATATAAGATGTAACAACATTTAAAGAATCCTTCATAAAGGAGTTAATAATTTTCAGCCTGAGGTAAAACATTGATGAAGCCCGTTATTGTTATTTCAATTGATGCTTGAGATTTATTTTTGCAGTCAGATAGTTTAAAGATAACATAGTTATGACTATTCATTTCTGGTCCTCAATAAACTCACAGATGACTTACAGATGGTCAAAGTCCTGCAGGAGAGGAACCCATGAGGACTTTTGTTAAGTTATTAATACAGTTTTGACAAAAATAAACAGGCTTGAAATACATATAATTTATATATTTTGTAACCAATAACTTTTGTAAATGCTCTAACTCCTGTTAATATCCAGTTTGGTAGTCACAGTTTATAGCCATTGTCATTGGAATACAACATACTGTATAAAAGTAGCACATCTGCAAAGATCAGTGCAAGGTTAGAAGTTTAATGATTTCTTAATCTGTATGCCAGTTTCAAGTGTATACACTCTTTAAGACATTTCAGGCTAGATAAGGTATTAAAACCTTACTACATGCAGAGGACTCCAAAGGTCACCACCATAACTAAAAAACTAAAATATACAATATGTTCAGTAACAGGACCTGTAGAAATAAGTGATTTAACCAGTATAATTGAAAAAAACAAACAAAAAAACATGTGTCATGTAATCATAAGCATTTATTCAACATTTTTAACAGACATGGACAATCCTTTTCAAAATCTTCTGAACAAGTTCAGTGGGGTCTTTGCTCTTCCTTGGACTATAGAGATGCCTGATGTAACAGCATTACATCATTGTATTATCAGGGTCATCAACCTGCTGGGAAATGAATCCTCTCCCACACAGTGTTGACCCAGAATAGGGATAACATGGCTCTGCAGAACAGAGAAATTTCTCTAAAATCAAAAAATTTGCCATTTTTGCAACAATTTAAAAAAAAATCTTGAATTAGAGAGCATCAATTAAGTAAAAAAATAAAAAGTTTTTAAAAAAATGACAAAAACTATGGAGTAAGTGTTTGCACATCAGATTTGTAGGGTTGGGTTGCCACTTCCTCCATTTTCTACATACTTCTTATTTTTGGGTCCATTGCACAACCTGTAATCAAAAGAAACGTATGGTAAAAATAGTAAATAAGCTCCATAGACACATATTTATATTTTCTACTTGTCATCTTTTATTTCATTCCGCTCTTTTGACTGGTGAAAACTAGTCATTAGTTTCTTTTTGAATTCTCTGTTTATAAAGATAGCCATAGTTTTATATGGAGCCAGCTTAAATAGAATAAGATGTGCAACATATAAGTAAATCCATCTTGGCCGTTTTCAAGGAGATCGTAGGTTTCCAATGGATATTAATTCTGAGATTATAATTTTTTCCTGTAAACCACTGTAACTTCTTGGCTATTAATACAGTTCTCAAGTGACTGAGTTAGGAAGTTGATCTTGTTTAATCAAGTGCATTCTAAAACAATGCTGTCATGTTGGCCTGAAAAATATGCTACAGTAACCTGACTGAGATGCACCTACCCCTGACATTCTTGCATCTGCTCCACTGTTTCTGGAAGATCTCTGTTGAAGGTCTCCGGCAGGAAGAAGTTAACCACAGTTGAGGCAATTGTGAGACTTCCCATGAGAATATAAGGTAGAACCTTATTATAAGAACCTGTAAATAACAAAGGAGCACAATTCTACATTAGAAAATGAAATGAAAATTAGAATAAGCATTAACTTACATAAATAAACATTAACTTACTTGCACATATCACTGATATTGTCCTATGCAAACTTTTATGTTCTTTCATGTTTTTTAAGATACATACAGTATATAAATACAGTGAATATGCAGTGTCTTTGTGTACTCAGCATCTACATACCTAGATAGATGACATAAGGAGCTGTGATACTGCCAATGCGTGCAGCAGAGGAGCACATTCCCATGCCGACGTTCCTGAGTACAGTAGGGTAAATCTCAGCAGTGTAGATGTAGACGATGCTGAAGGCCATGGTGAAGCCAAACTTCCCAGTCATTTCCAGTGCCAGAGCAACATGCTGAAGGGCTGAGAGGGGGAGGGAGAGAACATATTTTAAATGATTTTTGAATGAATTGTGGTGCAGATGATGTCCTAGAAAGCATTCTTATGCAGAGCAAGACAAATATTCATATATTTTCATATAAATTGTGCTAATTAAGTCTAGAATATTGGTCTTCCTCGAGGCAGAAAGCTTTTATATATAACTTGCTCTGCCAGACCAGTGTCTTTCTGTGGCCTAATCTTTTGTTCTTTGACACTAGAAGGAATGAAAGTGACATAACTGTTTTACTATAGGAACCTTCTTGAACCCACCTATGACCAATTAAGTAATCAGAGGATGCAATAATCTGGAGTATGGCTTCTTTGTTGTCTTGATAAAGACAAATTGATTTTACAGGGCAATATAGAACATACAGGTGCATAATTATTACACTCCCTTATTACAGCAATGAACATCATGTAAGTAGCTTATTTTAAAAGTTTTAAAAAGGAGGATTTTAAAAGGATTATATGGGTGACGGTGGAAGGGTCAAGTTGATAAACCCATGTGACAGAGTTTAATATGTAGTGAATACCATCTGATAAAACACTCATGTTATATATCAATGCCAAATAGTACTGCAGTATGCTGCATGTACTTTATAATATACTCAGTATTTAGTAACACAGTATATCGAATTACTACGGAAAAGGGGTATGCTTAAATGCTTATATTCATCAGATTTCCAGTCTTCTGTGAATGTGCTTTGGCTGACACTGTGCCATACCTACAATGTACAGATATGAATTGCACAATCAGCCGCATAGACAACATACTCTATGTGATAACACTACCTGCAATAACATTTCTGAGCCTTTTTATAACTACTTGGCTGGCACATTTACACAACCCTCTTATACAAAGCCTATTTCTTGGAAAAATCCTGTCGAAGCTATACGTTGAACCATAGGTTGAACATAATCTCCTTAAGAAAGCCAGTGGTCAAAAGAATGTAAAATGTATTTTCTAGCTTTAGTAAAAATACTGAGATTTTATGAGTATCTTTTTAGAAAGCCTTGTGGTTTTGATGACTGAATGCACACAGCTATGTGGCTCTTAGGAAGCAGCAGCTTTTAAAGAGTCAGTTTATTCAAATTACAAATAATATGTATACAGAAAACATGTCACTGTCATCATGTTTATGCATTATAACATACATTTTCACACCTATATTAATATCAAGACATGCAGATGCTTTGAGTGTTAGATAGGTTGTCATACTTACTATCAGGGATGAACTGGATGAGAAGAAGAACTCCTCCCCCAATGATGAGGAACGTTGACAGAAGTATTCTTCTTGGACATTTCCTTAGCAGCCAAGTAGAAACAACATAGGCAGGGACCTCAGTAGTAGCTGATAAAAAACAGTTCATGAAGGGGTTGCCACTCAGGTTGGAGGTGTTCAAGGATAATCCAAAATACCCAATGTTTATTGCCATCCTGAAATGAAAAGAAAGAAAAGTATAATTAATATCACATATTTGTATTTTTCTTCTGGTTTGTTGTAGCCATACTTGGTTTATTTATATGCATATAATAGCTGTAGCATCATTTATTAACAAACATGTGCAAACGGTGAATAATAAACTTTTCTGAATGTCAGAATGAGGAAAAAAAATAACCACTCACCACAAAAGCAGACACATCAGAGTGATGCATCTGATGTTCTTGGATTTGAGAATATCAAGCATGGTATATGTCCTGCTTGGAGGCATTGCCTGTAGCAAAAAGCAATGAAAACAAGAGAATGTGAACATGCGATTACATTTGACACATTTGCACACAGTATATCATAACTCAAATATGTTCAGAACGAATTCCATTTAGACTTTAGCCAAGGGATAATCGATGCAGACTTGAAAGGGTTTGGGATATGGGATTACATATACCTTCTTTTTATTAGACATAATTGTGAAATTATAGGAGTATGCTTAATTCAAAATACAAATGATTGGTTTCAGTGTACAAATAAATAAATAAAATATAAAGAAAAAATACAAGGTATATGTCAAAAGGTCGATTAAATTTTCATTCCCAGAGTCACTGTTTTTAGTGTTTCCATGGATGAAAAAAAGGTAAAGGGACATTCAAATGTCACAAATGATTAAATTATTGTAAAGAAAACTCACCTCAGATTCTTTAAAAATGACTGGTGGTGCCTCAACTTTATTTTTCTTTGCAGCATCTCTCACGATGGCCTCGGCCTCCTCCACTCGTCCCTGAGTGATCAGCCACCGAGGAGACTCTGGGATGAACCTGCACAATCAACAGGTTGTTCGTTATCATATCTGTTCAACCATGAATACAGACTATGGGACCATTTTATTCATGCACAAAATATTCGTTTAGAAATCAGTATGTATAATGAGGTACATACCACCACAATGGGATGTAGACCACAGAAGTCATGGACAGAACAGCAAGAAGAGTCCTCCATTCTCTGATGCCGTATGCAATCCAGGGTAGTGTCATGTACCCAATGCAATAGAATAGAAAAGCCCCGAGAGTTGTGAAGACCACACGCATAGTTTTACTTAACAATTCCGTTCCTGTCCAAGATAAAATAAAATGTAAATGTTTAGTGATGAGCACGATATCAAAGATAAACAAGTGGACAGTAAAAGCCATGCTGAAATAAGTAAGTAACTATTTATGCAGGCTACAATAACTTTTAACAAACATAGGACAAGGAGTGGTTTACAATTCATACCTAGTACAAATGCAGAAATATAGATGGATATCTGGGAGGCTCCAACAAAGAGGAACATGATGCAGAACATCCTCCATGAATAAGAGAAGGACTGAAGCAGCACCGAGACACACTGGGCCGCCAGAGAGATGAAAACAACTTTCTTCCTCCCGAACCTGAATAGGAAATAATTGCATATCATTGACAGTGATTCACAGACACAGTGCATTTTGAAAATATGTTTAAATAATGTTTGTTATTACGTTGTCCCTTTATATACTAAAACCCCTAATTTGAGGAAATGCAGCTGGGCAGTGGTCATAAACAACAAGTTTTTTATGGCCAAAACAGAGGAATGTTCTTCACTGGCCTCCTGACTTCAATCCAACTGGCTGTCTGTTCCATTTGCTGATGCCCAGACTGGTTGCAAAAAAACCCTCTAAACTAGCAACAAGTGAATAAATCTGCAGATGGCCACAGTATCACAACTCCAGAACCCCAAACACTGGTTTGTTGCTTGACCTTGAAAAGGGAATGTTTGGAGAGACTATTCTATTTTAAATAAGCATTTTAACAACAATCATACAACATGAGGACTGCTGTAGATGTGCCTGAATGGGGATATATTAACATCTACTCCTGAACTGCAAGGAACATACAGGTATACTCTCTAAGCTCTTTATTGTAGTCCTTTAAATCATCAATGATCAAAAAACTCCCCCCTAGCCTTTAACCCCCCCCCCCCCACCACATTGAGGGAACAGTTTTCACAGCTGCAAAAGAGCTGAGTAATTAAACACACATGCGCTCCACACTGCTCTGTCCTGAGCCCCCCTGCTTTTCTATAATCAAAGTACACAACACCAATGTCTGTCAAGAACTGAACCCTTAACACATCAAATACTCTACAAATACTCTATAATATTATTATCACACCTGTTAGGATCAGTAGAAAACTATAGCACCCACTGACACATGATTGTCTCCTAGAGCAAGTTAATTTGCATTTAGTTTCAATGGGCAGGGAGCACAGCCAGTACCCTAAGACAATGCTGGAATAAAACAGTGATACAACAAGCAATTTAATAAGCTTCTTGGAGCATTTAAATTGTACCTTTAATTAAATGATCAACAAAAAGCAGTTTCATTACTGCAAAACTGGTGATGACTTCAAAGTAGGAGACTTCTTTTTCAGCAAAACAAATCCTTCCTCCAATTTCAACACTAGATGGAGCTGTTGTAATGGCAGCTTATTGGGTCTAAGCCTCCAGTGACACTCACTACAGTGGGAAATCTTCACCTACTTAATTGATGATTTTCAACTTCAACACTTCATGAATGGTAAAATAACAAACAAAATCTGTCTTACTACTAATAAAGTACATTCATGGTTCGTATGACATGAGTGTGTTTACGGAGATTGCAATGAAAAGGAGAAAATACCTGTCAGAAAGCTGTCCTGAGATTAGGGACCCAAAGAGGTATCCTACAAAGAGAGTTGAGGATGCAAAGGGAACCTTCCACTGGTTATCACAAACAAGGTCCCACTGTGAAAAGATGTGAATCAGACACATATTTAAAACAGAAAACTCTTACAGAATTGAAATTTCTAACAACTAATAGTTCACAGATCACACATGTACATTCATACTGACCTCAGTGACTATGTTGGATTGGTAGATCTCTTTGCTGTAGTTCCATCCATCTAAACATCCTTCCAGCTCCAGGCTAGTGAGGTTGACATCCCTTCCAGGAACATATCCCTCAGCAGAGAGATTTCTCACCACATCCAGCTTGTATCTGCTGCACTGGTTCTGCACCTCCTCACCATCCACTATCGTAAAGGGAATGACGGCATTTGTCCACTCATCAGTTAAGTTCACGTCTGGAATGAGACAGTGGTGTTTCGGAGCTGCCCCAACAAACACAATGTAAAGTCCGTTGAATCCAGTTGAGACAAAAACTGTGTTTAAGAGGAAGAATGTGGTCCAGAAATAGGGACCAGTCTGTCCGAGGAATGCAGTGTCTTCATCATAGTCTCCCATTCTTTATAAAAATGCCTCCCTGCTCCGAGGGAGAAAAAAATCCTCTGAAATTCTTCAGAGTATGCGACGTGGTATCCCTCCTGAAGTGCTCAGCTTTGTACCACAGTGGTATGGTTGAGCTCTCTGTGGGGCAGAGTGAGCTGGACCCTCAGTGGGACTTCAGTTTCTAGTCCTGAGTATTAAACCTCCTTTTCAAGGGGATAACTTTTTCATCCCAGAGTGACCTACAGTAAGACTGCTTGAACCACTGACTGGGCAGACAGGGAAGCAATTTATCTAAGACTTGTGAATGAGAGACCTCTCCCTCACTGATTTGATTTTATTTACTGAAAGAAAAATGATCAAAAGCTTCAGAGTGGCCAATCTATCCACCCAACCCCCGCACCACTGTGGTCAAAGTGGTATTTTCTCTACACAACATTCCACACTTTTAAATACCCCAAAGAAGTGCACGTGCCTGTACTCTAAATGTTGCTAAGTAGCATTAAGACTCCCAGTGGACTATTTTTAAGGCACACTGCAGAAACAGTAGTGGAAATTGTAGGAATCCTGTATATAGGCTTTATATAATAAATATAATACGTAGGCCTTTAATATTTAGAATTGGCTAAATTACTTATTTTAAAACTACCTATAGTTTTACAGCAACACATTTTAGGCTATTGCATCAATATGTTCATGCTTATAATCAGTAATGAAATGTAACTATGTGCATTTACTTAGCACTGGTACTTGAGTATTTCCATTTTATGCTCCCTAACACTTACACTAACACTACTAACCATTATTGTACTTTTTACTCCACTACATGTACTTGACAACATTACACATTGATATTATATTTGATATTATGAGTACTTTTACTTTTGGTACTTCAAGTACATTTTCTCATCAGTACTTTTATTTATGCAGGACCTTTATTGTAAGTGAGAATTATTATACTGTGGTGCTGCTACTTTTACTCAAGTAAAAGATTCACATGTATATTTCCTGAATTTACTATAGTTTGGTTGACAGTGCTACATCACTGGTCAATTCAGGCATTCCTCCTCAGGCCACTGACTGGCACTATTAATCAGTTTAATCAGTACTTGAGTACATGAGTAATCTTTCAGGAAGACAATCAGGAAGGTTTCTACTCAACCAAAGGATGCAAATGTTTATTCTCCATTTGCCATTTTGTTTCCCCACACAATGGTGGTGATTCAAGACATTAAAGCATGACAAGATTAGGCCATTGTCATCTGTGGCCTTTTATCAGTGAAGACGCTAAATGGCTTTCAGAAACAAATCACCAAGTCTACAGATGAAAACAGTGTAAACCAGCTTTAATATATCGCAGGAGTAGATATAGAATGACATATTATACGACAAAATGATTATTTACAGGATAAAACACATTTATCTGTATTTACTACTACTATCTGTCTATTTATTTCCTATTCAAGTTGTTATTTTTTGTTTTATCATTATTTAATTAATATAACACATACATATCAAATGTGCCTCAATATCTATTGTTTAATTTCTTTTTTAAACAATGCAGGAAACAGCATATCCCTCAGTTTCACAACAATGGAAACCAGCATGTATAATCATTAACTTTGGCTTTCACAGCATGCAAAACATTTGCCATTATGACCAAAATGAAGCAAGCCGGCACTTAGAAGGTCATGGTTTACACAGTCTTTGATTGATTGTGAGAGAAAGTGACTCAAGAAGAGCACAAGAATGCCATCAGCACATACATTGTCTAAATATAAAAGGTTTCAGTCTGGCATTGTTTTTTTTCTGCTTGGTGTGTGGGGAATGGGGTATCTAAGATTGAGACATTGTTTCAAGTAAACAGTTGTTTTTTATTTCAAGCAAAAACACTCTAATGGAAAACAATTGTTTACCTTCAATAAAATTACCTGAGGAGATAAACTAAAATTGACCTCTATGTAATTTACGTGCTCGCTTGAATGTGCTGATTGACATGAACATAAAATCATTGTGAATCGACCTAACCTTTTTCAGCCCATTTGAGAAATCACATCTTTCAAATATCTTGTTTTAAGTTTTTTGGCTGCACAGCTTATCTCAGGTCAAAAGCTATGGTTCTTTCACATGACCAATCACTTTTGTTAACTAACACTAATGAATTAATAACTAAATGCATATAATCATTCATTTGAGTCAGTGGGTAAGCATACTGTTTGTACTATACAAAGGAACATGCATGTTAATCACATTTGTGCAGCTGCTTAACTCTGAGGAGTAATAGATTAACACAGGTAATTGTTCCCAGGATTCATACTTTATTAAGAATTAATTTATTCTCATATAGATATGATTAGTATTCGAATATGCCATCCTTCTCTTTAAATACTCAACAGCCGCGAATGATTGTTTTCACCCCTTGGGTTTTGTACGGATTAAGAGGAGTTGGTAGGTGGATTTTGCTCGTGGACAGAGCCCAGATAGCTATTTACCCCTGTTTCTAGTCTTTGTGCTAAGCTAGGCTAACCGGCTGCTGACTGTAGCCTCACTTCTATATACCGGACAGACCTGAGGGTGATATCCACCTTCTCATCTAGGTTAACTCTCCTCCAGAAATCCCATAGCTCCCAAGAAGTCAAACTATTCCTTTAATGTTTCATATAACCAGCTGTCAATGAAATTATGTTATGTTCAAGGGTATGTGAGGTAAACAGGCACTGGACAGACACACACATGTGTCTGCTAGTCTGGGAAGAGAGACAGGAGTTGTAACAGAGGAATGCACAGGGCTTTATATTCTAATCTTTAACCAAAGTTTTCATTGCAAAGATAAAAGGGTTCAGAGTGCATCAGAGTCTTGTGAGACAAGTGCAAAGTAGGGTGTGTAGAAAATCACAAGTTACTGGTATAGTGTAGGGGAGACAGCTGCACTTGATGGACTTTTCCAACACATCCATATATGTTTTAATGCTTGCTCTTTGATACAGCTGTGTTAAAAAAAGTTCTCTTGTGCCTCCAGCTGGAGCTTCAAAACATATCTGTGTATGGTGATGCCACTCACTGGTATACTTTTGAATGACTCATTATAAACACATTATCTCATACCAGTTAGGAGGCTATTCAACTTTTTGATTCTTTGAAATACAAATAAAGTGTTGGGAGGGGAAAATATAGGGGCTGAAATGTTGTTTGATCAGATGTGACGTGTTACCAAGATTACTAATGGAAAATATGATTATATTATAAAATAAAATTATATGATATAATATAAGTATAAGCCTAAATATAATTATGCTTGCTTGTCTCAACTGCGCAAAGTTTAAAGTTTAAGCTGCTTTACTGTGGCACAAACAAACCTGTATGGATCTCGTGTTGTGCCTTTAAAGATTAATTTAGGGTGGGTGGGATGGCTTTGTGGCTCAAACAAAACCACTGCTTTTGAAATGCCCACTCCAAAGTCCCTCATTCGTGTCTGCTTTTAACTCTACCCCACTTTGTGTGCGCCGGGCGCGTCTAGCAACCACAAACAACATGACCGACTATGAAACCGCAACCGCCTTCCTCGGGGAATGGGGACGTTTCCAGCAGCAGGTGTTTTACCTTCTTTGTCTCAGCATCATCCCTAACGGTTTTGCCGGCCTGTCCATCGTGTTCGTCGCCGACACGCCGCCCCATCGCTGCCTCATTCCCACGCACATCAACCTCACCGCAGCATGGAAGAACAGCAGCATCCCGCTGGAGGAGGACCACCACAGCGGCGCTTTGGTGCCCAGCAAGTGCTCCAGATACAAACTTGAAGATTTACTGAGTTTCTCGGACAGAGGCTTGCTGCCTGGGGTTGATGTCAACCTGTCAAATGTGGCAACAGAAGGCTGCTTGGATGGGTGGGAGTACGACCGGAGCGTGTACATTTCTACCATCGTCACTGAGGTTTGTGTACCTACGCTGTTAGAGAAAGCTGCAGCTGCTTCCATGATGAGGGGGGATTTATATTGCTGGTGTTATCTTTTACATGGAGTATAATGGTTCAGAGAATAATGTGCTTCTTTTAAAATAATCCACTCACTGAGAATAAAATCACTAAATTACTTGATGGGTGAGTTTTAATTAGGCTACTCCATGTGATTATCATTTTGATGTCAGAATAAATTTAGAGACCTTTTCCAGATATAGGCTACAAATATATATACAACCTGTGCCTTTAAAAGGCGTATGTTAACACATGTGTTTCTAATCTGTTGTTTACCCTCCCTTGACACCTATATCCAGTTAAACAACGCCAGAAAATATAAATATGACCATCGAATTTCATAGAAATAGAAAATAGTCTCAGTAAAATGTTTAATTAAAATAGTAGATATTGTTATTTATAACTATTATGCTGTTTCCCCCTGTTTATTATAACAATTTATAATTGTAATCTTGCATATATATATACTATAGCCTAATTGGGATACAGTGTTAACTGTTTTTCTTGCTAAGAGATTGCAACTTCAGGATTCAACTTTTGTGTACTTGATGTGTGTGTGTGTGTGTGTGTGTGTGTGTGTTTGCAGTGGGACCTGGTGTGTGATGACAGGTGGAGGAACCCGCTGACCTCTTCTCTCTTCTTCTTTGGAGTTCTCACTGGCTCCTTCGTTTCAGGACAGCTGTCAGACAGGTCATGGGAAAAAGATTAAGTTCATGTCACATCTCAACATGGCAACAAGTTCTTTGCACTGTCAATACATAGATATTTGAATTATTGTCCATTATATGTCCAACTTGACACTGGCTAAAAAGGCTTTGCAACAAGACAACACAACTTTTTTTTTATTGTGACCACCTGAATCACTTGCAAGGGCCCATTCTTCACCTAATACATTGATGAAGGTCCTACTCTCTCTACAGGCCGCCAACCTCATGGCCCCAGTGTAACCGCACTGTCTGTGCTATATATACGCCCCTTATTTTCTTTATATGGTTGTTGGTTCAAGTCAAAATGGTAGCAAAAGCACAATCTTTATGAATATAGTCTGACTTTGCGTTAAATGAAAAAAACATATGCAATATGTGAATACTGGCACACAACATCTGTGACCCAATAAATGAAGCAGCAACATAAAAATATTCCAGGATATCCAGGACTACACTGGTGTTGTTTTCCTGCTCACTTCTCAAGGGAACTCCACCGATTTTACATCCAAGTCTGTTTACAGGTCTTAGGGAGTACTAGCCAACTGCATTTGTAAAAAAAAGACTTTTGTGGCTCCAGAGGGAGCTTTGCAAAATCTGATAAATTGCCTCAAGTGATGTCACTTGAACTGTGGCTGGTTGGGAATAAAAAACAACAAGTTTGAGAATGAAACAAATCTAGGGGTGTGGAGTTAGAAAGAAGTGCGTTTACCAGACCCCTGTGTCGAATAAAAAAGTTCTGCTGCTAGACTTTTTTTAAACTATCCATTGCCAGTCAGACACTGTTATAGGAGTGCAATGCTAATTGTTGGAGCACTCGTTCAAGCTCTCCCCAAAAATGTATTGTTTTAAATTCTGTGTTAATTGAGTTTTGGCTGCTTTGGGGCAGAAGATCTTAAAAAAAGAAGAGACAAAAAACTATCAACACCTTGGAGTTTCTGGCCACCTCATGAATGTAAGTCCCATATTCACTCTTCTTTTAGCTCTGGTGGTATCAACTAATTAAAAATATATTGATTGACTGACAGAAAGATTGACATGTTTGACTTTCTTCACCAGCTAGTCGCTAACTTTCGTTTGGTGCTGGGCAGGTAGTGTACACCTGCCTGCTGCTGGAAACAAGATTAACGAGAGCAGTGAGAGTGGACTATTTACTTGTGCTTTGTTTCATTTTCAGATATGGGAGAAAAAAAGTTTTGTTTGCTACCATGGCAGTCCAGACAGTGTTCACATTCATCCAGGTCTTCTCTCCATCCTGGACTGTGTTCTGCGCAGTCTTCTTTGTTGTCGGGATGGGACAAATTTCCAATTATGTGGCTGCCTTTGTGCTAGGTACTTGTTCGGCCCTGCTCATTGATTCTCAGATGTATTTAGTTGCTAACTTGTTCATTATAATACAAAAGATGGTGCAATTTAGTGCTTGTGTGTTTTGAATCCCCTATTTTTCTTGTCTTCAGGAACAGAGATATTAAGCCCACGTGTTCGGACAATTTTCTCCACCGCGGGTGTGTGTCTTTTCTTTGGTGTGGGATACTTGCTGCTGCCCCTGTTTGCTTTCTTCATCAGAGACTGGAGGATGCTTCTCCTAGGACTCACCCTGCCTGGCTTCCTCTATGTGCCTCTCTGGTGGTAGGTGGGTGTGTGTTTGTCTGAGTGGGGTTTTTTGTGCATGTTAAATATTTGGCCATCTATGATGTCAACTGTATTCATAATATCAAGAAATGCTTTTTTCAGTTGTGCTGACATATGTATAGAGTGCCTAGTAGCAGTTCATTCAGTGGATTCAGGCAGGGAACCTCAGTGCTACAGTGTGTTGATCAATCCTATCTCCTGTCATATGTGATTTTTAGCTGATTTGTAGAGTTTTAACTGGCCAGGGACAACAGATGACAATTAGCCATCTTGGCTGTCAATCAGTTGACATCATTCCAAATGGTCCAAGCTTTTCTAATGTGAAGACGGAGACGTGTCCTTGGACAAGAAAATGTACAGACTAAATTAATAAATAATTGTCTGTACAGCATGTTTTCCTGTGTTCCAGGTGAATGATCCCCTGTCTCTGTTGTGTAATGAGGTAGGTACATCCCAGAGTCTCCTCGGTGGCTGCTCTCTCAGGGAAGAGTAGAGGAGGCTGAGGATATACTGAGAGATGCTGCTAAAAGGAACAAAATTGAGCCTCCGGCGGTCATCTTTGATCCTTTGCAGGTGAGATCTCACTAGAAAACAGGCTTCTGCAAGTGCATAAACTCTAAGCTACTGGGCACTTTCCAGACTTTACAGACTAACAACCAGATGTAGGCATACTAGTCAATGCTTCCAAGGACTGCTTCTCAGAGTTTAGTTCATCATGGACCTGTATTTTAGACTGTAGAAAATCCTTTTTATTAAAGTTTTAAATGCAGATAATGGGTGATGTAGAGTTCAAGTTTATGTCTGTTTTGCCAAGCCGAGGAAGAGAAATAATTTAATTAATCACTGAGGATAGGAAATATGATATTTTTCACTTAAATAAATGTTTTGGACTGGGAGAGTCAGAATTGAATCAAAGCCAGTGGGGAATGGCGACGAGAACATCTCTTTCTGTAATCTCTCTCTCTCTCTGTAATCATTATACCCATCTTTTATTGTAGATCAGCTTTCTCTTGGCATGTTTACTAACCAGATGGGGAATGTGAACAAGAATGACCCTTTTATGGTTCACTGCTCAGTGTGATGTAATCATTTATTATTCTACACACAAGTGAACACTAATCTGGATGGCAGCTGATTTTACCTGAGACTTTACCAAGATTTATCCAACAGATTTTATTATGTTGCTGGAATATTTTGCCCAAATATCTAATCTTCAACTGTAAAACAGGTTTTGATTGAAGGAAATCTCCCTCAATTACAAAAGTTACTCCAATGTGGTGGAATGACATTTATGTACCAAGACCAAGCTCTCATTTTTCGTAATGGTAGTTATATTATTGAATAGTATTTTTTAAATAGATTTTATGTATATTTACTTACTTACAACTTTTTACATTTTCAAAATTTAGGAGCTTGTTGGCAGTCCAAGAAAAAAATGCAAAAAACACTATTTTATAATATATAGTGAGGAAATTTTGTTGAAGATAGCTAATTTTTTAAATTAACTGTAAAAAGGCATCTTTCTTTGCATTTAATTCTTCCATCCAGATGTCGTCTCTGACACATGACCTTGACCTGTGAATTTTCTATTTGAAACAGAACTGCCACATTCATGGCCTTTCCTCTCTGCATGTTTTCCTGCACTTCCCTCTTTGAAAGAAACACAATGGACCATCTTTACAAGTCAGAAAGTGTTATCATTTTGAAAGATAAATGAAACATAATTTACTATAGAATCCACTCAACAGTCCAGCTCTATGTTTATATATGTATGTATGTCATCTAGAAATATTGTTTTACATTCTTGACAAACATTGTATCCCTAATCTTTGCTCTCTGCTGGAAACTGGCAGCAGACCAGAGGAGAAGTATGTCAAACCAGTCCATAATGTAGTGATTTGTGTGGGGTGGGTATTTTTTTTCTATTTCTGGCAGCATTTTTGTACTGCTACATGCTGAATTCTTGCTTGTTTTCTGTTCAGAATTCACAATCAGTCCACCACAAGTTACGTAGGTCACATTAATGCATGAATAATAAATCTAATATTGTAGCATCATTAATAACTGACTGAAACAAAATGTCAGTTGGATGAAGGTATAAACATGAAGCATCCTAATTATAACCTGACTGATACTGGATTTTCCATCTATTAATCCTATTTTTGGCATTTGGATACAATAAGTGTGAACATGTGCACATACATGTGTTCACTCAGCAAGTAGCCATGCATTCACAAGCTTCTCTATAATGAAATTATTTCCAGACTGATGGCTCTGCTTAAGTGTTTATTGTTCGACGTGCTCCGCTGCCCCACAGAAAGAACTTCAATCTGAGAATATGAAGGCCCACAACATCTGTGACCTGCTTCGTTCTCCAAACATCCGCTGGATCTCTATCACGCTGTGGTTGGTCTGGTGAGTCCCTGCTGTCCCACCTGACCTCCACATTCAATACAGTGACCCTACACGCAAAAATACACACACATCCTGACATGTACTGTGTAGACGCTCTTACGCTTTTACAAACACATACATACACACACAGCTTCAGCCTGTTCATGCATCACCTTTTACCACATGTCAGCCCATTTCACTAATAACAAATAATGACCTGTCAGGTGCTGTGAAGCCTGCAACCAAGATCAAAATCCGGTTTTGTAACTGCACAGTATGCCTGTATTTTTCCTGTGTTCCCTTCATCACTGAGTCTGAAAACAGATGCAGTTTGATTTTTGTTTAATTTAGGAACAGGCTCTGTTTAGTCTTGCAGAAAATAAAGTCGTGAGCCAATCATAACAGGTGGATAAGCTCTAAATTGAATATCATTTCTTCTACAATTGTAGGAATTACTAACTTTATCCAGTCATAAAAAGGGTTTCTAATTCAATGTCTGTTAAACTACAGTGTCATCCCACAGAGCTACACAGGATAATAAACATCTTCTAGTTTGTTATTTATGCTTAAAGATTATCCCCACAGGAACACTCTCACCATCGCCTACTTTGCCCTTTCCCTGAACACGTCAAACCTTCATGGCAACGCGTACTTCAACTGCTTCCTGTCAGCTCTGGTAGAGATGCCAGCCTACACTTTGTCATGGGTTATGTTTCGCTGGTGTTCCAGACGACTGAGTCTTTTCTCAACTCTCTTCATGGGAGGAGTGTTTCTACTCTTAATTCAGCTCATACCAGGAGGTATGACACTTCAATGGGCAACTTTTAAAAACTAGATAATTATAGCATTGATTGCTGTTTGTTCATGTAAGATCATTATACAGTATATCATTATATAGTATGTTGAAATGCAAAATGTTTACTTGTTAAGATATACCATTTAACTTGAGATATGCTTTATTCCCTCTAGACATGATTTATGTAGCCATAACACTTGAGATGATGGGGAAGTTTGCAGTGACGACAGCATTTGCAATCGTGTACGCATACACAGCAGAACTCTACCCAACTGTACTGAGGAATACTGCTGTGGGCGCCTGCTCTATGGCCTCCAGAATAGGCAGTATCATTGCCCCCTACTTCATTTACTTGAGTAAGAATGTTGTACCTCTGCTAAAAATACAGAAAGTTCACTCGTCTTAATGAGCTGTCTGTTGTAGGATGAGTGCGAGCTTGCTATAGGAGCAACCCTAAATATCTAGCTCTTTTTACTTGTACCCACATTTCTTTCTCTGTTTTGATCGCCCTGTTCGCTAATGCGGTGGAAAGCTGAGAAAAGCTGTTTATCTCCCAACTGACTTGCACTAACATGGTTAAAGCGAGAGGCTAACAAGAAGCTGGTGCCTCTACAGAAACAAAAACAAGAACAAAACACACCAGAACAAAAACATAAAAGCAGGCTTGATTTGCAGTCAGATCAGATAGATCAGTCTGCTGAAAATCCCAAAGCTTTCACTTAAAATTTAAAGTTTCTTTTAAGATTTAGTGGATTGGATTTCAACTACTACACATCAAACTTCTTTAAGTCTCTCCAACTTTTGTTCTTAACTGCTCCTCGGTACCATTGTAACCAAGGTTGTTTTTCACCGTCTTGTCCTCCTTTGATGTGTTGCCACAGGAAGCTATTCTGTTTCACTGCCTTACATCCTCATGGGAAGCCTTACAGCTATGTCAGGGTTGCTGAGTCTCCTGCTGCCTGAGAGCTATGGAATGCCTCTACCCGACACCATCACTCACATGCAACACTTCCCCGGGTAAGACTACAACCTCCCTGTCATGGAGTCTGTTAAAGACTAGCATTATTATGTATTTAGATCGATCATCACTTTATATGTTTGTACAGTTCTCAATTTTTATGTTGATTTGAGCTTAGTTTCAGTAAGTTTGTCTGTGTTTGAGACAGTACTGTATCCAGTTTTAATTTTAATATATTTATAGTTTCTGCACACCTAGTTTTTTACCTAGTTGATGGAAAACCCCCATGCACCTCAGATGTTGCTTTATATGTAAAAGTAATGCAGGATATAACAGATGCTAAGACTTTTTTGCCACACTCATACTCAAATCTGGTTATTTTGTTGTTCAAGTGCCAAATTATCAACTTTACTTGCTTTGACTGTTTTACAATCCAGTCCAAACTGGATAGAATTAAAACTGTAAAAAGATGAGAGATTGAAGCAGCTCAATAAGTAACTACTGGCAGTTTGTGTGCTCTCCAAGATGTACGCTCATCTGCAATCAGGTTTTTACATAAATCATACACCCACCACAGCCACAATTACGTGTAACCAGATGGCAAACAACACACTAAAACAAATATTGCACATTTTTGGAAATATGCTTCTTCGCTTTCTTGTTTAGAGTTTGATGAGAAGATCGATACCACTTTGGTTTTGAGATTGGTATTGATCTTCTCATCCAACTTTCCACAGAAAGTGAATACAAGTATTTCACAAAATGCTAAACTGTTCCTTTAAACCGATTATAGTGCTATCAATCATCAGTGTTATTAAAAATACTGTTATGGGGCGCAATTGATCTGTGGCTGGTTGGGAGTGTGTAACCACATGAACGTCACAGGCATATACTGTCAGTGGTCACAGGTCAGGACAATTTGAGCAAAACTGAGTTCAGCTTCCCGCCAAATTCACCTACATTAAGTTTCTAAACAGGCTTGGACAACACTGTTCTGTATTCTGTGAATCATGACTGTAACTGTATCACTGTGTTGTTTTACTCTAGATGTTGTCGGAAGGCACCTTACACACTCACACACACTGAGGAAAAGGAAAACATTGCTAAAAGGAACAAGGAGAAGGACTGATATCTGGCTTGAGGCAAATAACTGGACAAACATCATGTCTCTGTCCGTGTTGGACCACGGAACATGACACTTATTCAAATAATATAATGGTACCTTGAGAAATGTTTTCTCTATGAAAGCAAAATACTGTGAAATGAAAAGTGTCATAAACTTCTGTGCATGTTAAGCACCAATGCAGTTTTTACCATACCCACATATTACTGCTCTTCACTGATGAAAATGGGAACAGTAAATATACATAAAAAGTTTGTAATATTCTGATACCAATGTAATCACAACTAGAAGCCACATTTAAGGTTTTATGGCACAAATGCATCTTCAGCTTCACATTTAACACTTGAATCTTTCATATGACAGTGGCTTGTGAATATTTTGTACACATCTTTCTTTAATTTACTCCAAAATGATTATATATGTTCAAGCACATAAGTATAAGCAAATAAATCAAGCTTCATGTAATGTTGCCTAAATTGTAGTGATTGACATTTTCTGATAGGGATTTCAAATTGTAAGAACAGTAAATAGTAGGAATGACGACTTAAAAAATTCCTTTGTCTTCTTCTCTGGTGTAGTAGTCAGGGAAAAAAGCAACAATGCAGCAAGGGAGGACTCGCACCCCAAGAACAAAAAATATATATTTTTTTAATTTTAAATATTTCTATTAAATACATTACAGGGCTGCAAAATGTCTCAATGTTGGATTTTCCTTGAAGTGTGAAGTATGCATGATGAGTCACAATATGTATGGGTTACTTCACAGGGGCACCTGGCCAATGATCTAGGACTTTCTTGAACACACATGAAGTAAATTGGCAGCAGGTCATTACAAACCTATCAGAATAATAAAGATCCATAGCATTAGCACATTCTCATGCAACTACTTATCAAACTCATACAAAAATAGTTAGACATTCTTCTAGCTATCATTCTGCCCTGTAGTCTATTTTTCAGGGCTCAGGGCATCTGCACAAGGGACGAATGTTTTCAAATAGATGCTCATAAACTCTTTGATCAGTTTCTGACAACAACAAAAAAATGTATTATGTAAAATAGAAATATTTAAAATCAAGAGTCGATTTTCGAAATTAGTGGCACTTCCTAGGGACTTGCTGTAGGGACAAAAGACAAACAAACTTTTGGTTTAGTGTGCTAAAAAGCTAAGATGTTTGAAAATGTTTTCACTCTTACCAACTTCATTTTTATCATCATATCCTGTCAGAGTGATGATAATGACTGTTTTTGGTGGTTATATGAAAAGAATAATCTGCAAGATTTTCTTATCATTGTAGGTCTGGGTGTGGGAAAACCTCAGGCACTCACTAAAATACGTATATTTCACGTGTTTTTTAAGAACCAAGGGGTGGTTTTAGCACGATAACTATAGTTTGTTCAGCTATAGTTTGTGTAATTCCTCATGCAAAGAAAGATAACTGACATAAAATGGGCTTAATTCAGGGACAAAACCAGGACAGGATGTCAGTTTATATGAGGACTAACACACAACCTGGCAGACACATAAAGAACACACATATATATATACAGCTTCATGACTCCTAGCATTTTTCAACTGAAACTATCACGAAATAGATCCCTTTTTTCCAGCAGTGATCCCAATACTGGAGTATGTTATACCGTATGAAGTATTTAAAACTTAAATCCACAATTGACCTTTGTGTTTAGATGTAGAATGAAGAATGTGATTTCTTTGGGCTTGGTTGTCTTTTGGAATTGCTGAGGTGAAAAGTTTATGAGAACAAGGTTCCAAAAAAGGTTTTAAAAAACCTAATTACCTCTATTGTGATGTTGCTATATTATGTTTAACCACAGGAATCAGGCTGTAGTGTCATCATTGTCTCCAGGCCCTATCTGTGCCACCCACAGTCTTTAGGTGCTACTACTACAAAAGAAGATGACTACAAAGAAAAAAATCTTCCTTCACCTCAACTGCCATCTAGCCTCGCCCTGTACTAGAAATAACATGAATGCCAAAGCATAAATTAAAAGGGAGGTGTACCTTCCTCAAGCAATTCTTCACACTTAGGACTTGGAGTTGGGCCAATATTATAGCCACAGTATTAAGCCATAGCTGGCATGGATGCAATGTGTCAATAGTAGTGACCTTTATACTAGTCATAATAGAAAAATATGTGTCTCTGTCCAGACAAATGCCTGAAAATAACTTGAGCTGCAGTACACACCCTAGCAAAGCTTTTGTGCCATATCCAGTCTTAAAGTTCCTTAAAGCCAAATTTCTATTACATGTTTATTGTCTTTGTCAGGTTATAGATTACAAAGGTAGTAACATTTTCTGGTGCATAAACTTGCTTGAACTTGTGTTCTACAACAAACATGAACCTTTCAACCTTCACCTGATTACTGAACATTTATTAACAGCCAACTCCTGAGAATTTTGTGTTGTTTTCCATTAAAAGATAACAAACCTGTAGCTTGCATACATAAGATTAAAATATATTTATGTAACTTAAATACATCTTGTAACATGGTTATAGAGATGTAAGATCTGTCTGACATTTAAACCTTTATTAACAGCTTTTAATAATATTTTGTTAATGACTTCAAAATAGCTACATGTAGAACTCAACTCCATGTTTTAATTATATTATTCCACATTTGTTTTCAAAAGCATTAAAAAGGAAAACTGAAGGTTAATTTTTTGATGAATAACCTACTACACTTTAAAAAAAGTTCAAATATTAACAAATGTAAACCATGATACTCAATAGCAATATCATCATATGACCTATATCAGTAAAGCACTAGATAATCATAATGGACTGTCCAGGTGTGACACTGGGGTTTCTTTTCTAGTGATGCATGGCCACTGTAATCTGTTATAAGGAGAAAGGACAAAGAAATAAAACATTATTGGTTGTAGTTGTATGCATAGAATATAGGGCAACTAAGAACAGAAAAATATAAATATCTCTTAGCTGCTATCGACTTCTTTTATCATCATGACAAGCAGCTGCTTTCACTACTGTGGCTGGTGTCATTACAACATCCACTTGTTTTGTACGTTTTAGTGGAACAAAACAGACTATTACTACATAGTAATAGTCATCTTGTGTGATAATAAAGCTAACTACTTAAATATGGTGAAAGTCTTAAGATAATCCTTCAACCAGTTGTTTAGGCCACTTGGGGGCAGCGGAATGAGTGAGTTTCCTGAGGGAAATATCAAGCTCTTTAGCAGCTAAATGCTCCACATGTTCACCAGCTAGTCGCTGACTTTGGTGCTGTTTGGTGGTGAGCAGGTTGAGCACAGTCTGTTTATAGAGCTTTTCTGCTGAAAAAAGCTGCCTGCTGCGAGTGAAGCAACCCTATGTGAACGGTAAGGGTCAGTAGGTTTATCACAAGCAACTCCTTCCACAATTGCAGTATATGACAATGTTGTCACATTGTCAATGTTGTCACATTGTCATATGATAAATTGTCTCCAAATTCATTTGTCAACTCTCTTTAAGGATATGTAACTAGAGGGACACACTAAATATTAAATATTGAACTCATACTGTACATGTATAATAGCACACTGTGTATAATTAGTTTCACTAATAAGCTAATTAATAACATTGTAGCAATGGCCCCACTCAAAGTTATAAATGGTACGGCTGCACACAAATGAAATGATGAAATTAATTTGGGATACTGCATAAACGGGAACAAATTCAGCAGTATAACATAAAGTAAAGTATTTGGCGCAGGAGCAGCTTCATAAAAAAGGTGCATTTCTCTTAAAATTTTCTCTTAAAAAAAAAAAA